ACACACAAGGACGCGTCCGGTCTCCCGAAGTTTTGCCAGGACCGAAGACATATCATCTGCTACATTAAAACCCAACCATTCGGCACCTACTCAACATAGCCGGTCGACACTTCCGGCGGTAGTTGTGTATATCCTTAGTGGTAAGAATCTTTCCGAATTCGTCCGCCACGAACTGCCGCACCTCAGATGACGGCGTTCCATATCTCAGCAGGGCTTGGCATGTGTCCAACTCTTCTTCGGTTAGGCGGCGATTGACTGGAAGCCGGTCGTACAGAAACTTTGACAGTTTGTGGTTGTGTTCCAAAAAATAAGAGGTCACTGCCAGCTGGTTCCTTTGCCTCCGTAGACAAAACCGCAATGGGCAGCTGGTTCTTCGCGTACTTTTTTATTAGAAATTACGCTCGGCTTACTAGGTTCTTCGGATTCCACGGCTTTCCGTTTTTCTTGGAGGGCGCCTGCTGCTTTTGTAGTGCACCCATTCGTAACGCAAAATAGTGTTGGTGCTTCGATTACTGGATGAACGCACGAATATCACAAAGTTATCCTTCATGTATTCATTTAAGGTCCTCTCAAATGCCGTGAGGGATGAAAACGATACACCCACAAATTTCTCAACGAAAGCCACTTCCGAAGCCATAGCAGACGAAGTTCAAAGCCGGATGTGCGCCAGTAATTTTCAAAAGAGATCGATTAAAACAAATCGCAGAAAAATGACGGCAGATGAGGGTGGTTTTCAGTCCACGCATATACGCAAAGAAGTGCAATATTTTGACGTTAAAGTTTTTATTTCGCAGGGAGGGCTTTTACAGAAAAATGCATTGTGCCTCTAGCCGATGGCGTATAATCCATTTATTCTAGTTCGAATTCAGGAAGGAATAGGTTTCGTGAAAAATGCATTGTGCCTCTAGCCGATGGCGTATAATCCATTTATTCTAGTTCGAATTCAGGAAGGAAGTTTTAGGTTTCGTAACCACAAGCCCACGCTACAATTTCATGGGAGGCCGCGAAACGTGATACCAATGAACTCTCGACCCACTCAACCCTGCACCGACCATGTCACCTCGATTGGTGATGAAACGCTTGCAATCCAACTGCCAAGCTCGGCGAACAGACCAACAACCAAACTCTCGACCCTGATTGGCTGACATCCTGAGCAATCAGGGCGTGGTTCTGTTTGTCGCAGCCCGCATGTGGTGTGCCCGTTCGGTTGCCCGGGACTGCAGGCTTCCGGGGTATTTCCCAACTGAAGACGCTGTACGTCACACAGGTGCTTTGATTTGACTTGCGGTTTCCCAGTGAACTTATTTTGCTTCCTGATTCGTCCCTGAGGCAGTGAGTATGCTGATCTGGGGTCTGGCGCAGCTGGTTCTGACAGTGCTGTACATTTCTGAGGTATGTAACTTTCGTCTGGTGTTCCATGGGGAGCAATTCCATTATTGGTGACGTCCTGTTTTCCGTATTTGATTCACTAATTGTAGCCGTGCCTGGGATCTGACTTGCGGTGACTGTTGGCGCTGTAATCGAAACCAGCACCCACGATATCCCCGAATCAGCACCTGACCTTCATGTGCTTGTTGCCGTATCCCTCCTATCCGTCGCCCTATCCTGTCTCCGCTTATGGCTTTGGAACGCTGTACTTGTTAAATCAGCTATGTATTAATGGGTGAGGACCGCGAGTACATTGTTGCAGGCTGTCGGCAGGATTCGTCAAAACCGACTGTAATGGGATGGCTACCGGTGTCGGATGTCTCGAGCTGAATAGCTTCTGTTCCGCGTATGTTCAGACTGGCCTCTGGTTTCGTCGCAACTAAAGTGAATATTAAATAATCTGGATGTTACGTTCCCGTGCAAGTATTCTGCCATCTATAGTTGAGGGCTAGATGGCTCAGTGGTTAGAGTGTGAATTTACTGATTGCAAGGTCCATGGTTCGACCCCAGCATCTCGACACATGCAGTCGTGAACCTCCGAGGCCGTAGGTGGTTTCACGTTCACCGTCCAGGATTCTACTTCACCTGTGAGCTCTAGATGAGTGCCGGCTGGTGACCACGACAGTTCGAAGTATTCAGCCCATCGGCCAAGGCGTTCTTCCTTATCCGAGATGGTCGTTCCATTCTGATGCTTGATAGTCTTTTCGAGATTTAAATAGTGCCACCGTTCGGTCTGATATCCAGTGCTTGGGTGCGCCTGATTGGGTCGTGCCACAGGCGAAATTCCCAGCACTGTGCAAAGAGGTGACAATCTCGTCCCAGTATGAGTTCACATCTGATGGTGGAGCACTTGGAAGAGACTCCATAAGGCGATTCTTGTAAGTTCGTCTGACATCCGGGTCTTCCAGTCTTTCAGTTGCCATGCGATTTGTCTGCACCTCACGCGGATCCAGGAAACGTAGGGAGAAGCGACTCCGGACGAGCGCGTGGTCAGAGTTCACAAATGTGTTCCAAAACGCTCGGCAGTCAGTTATTGATCCGCGCCATCGGTAAATGATGGCAATGTAGTCTATTTGAGTTTTTGGCCGGCCTGTTGTTGAATGACACCAAGTGGCCAGACGACTTCGGCTATTTCGGAACTTCGTACTGCATAAAAACAGGCTTCGATCAGCACACAGCTGAAGCAATCGTTCCCCCGTTGCCCGTACGTACCGAGTCCAGTCCATGTCGACCTCCCAATTGAGTCTCAGATGCACT